CAGTCAGGTTTTTTAACCACTACACTATCAGGCCTTCCTTGAAGATGGTGGATCGGGTAGACGTGTAGTGAGGAGCTCGGTCAACAACAAAATGGAATACCAGGTCAAGAGGACTCATGAGTTGGTGTTGGAACTCCGCAACAAATATAAAGGTATGTTTGGAGGTTCGGAGGGTTTATAGCTGGGGAATTTGCAGGAGAATCCAGAAACTCACCACTTTCTGGATCAAGACACTCAGCTGTAAAACATAATAGATACTCTGAAAATGAAAGGAAAGAAAACCAGAAATATATGATATTACAAGTTTCCAGAAGGAAGATAGAAGATATGAAAAAAATGCCATCTACTGTTATATTCTAGTTACTTCACTTATGCTATTTCACTTATTCATTACAGCATTTCTCTGAAACAAATAATTTTATTTCCTAAAGCCATGGAAATTCAGACTCATAATTTAAGCCACTTGTCTAAGTGAATAGATGACTAAACCAAAATTCATACTCAGGTAGGACTAGTTCAACTTGACAATGAGAAAGTCTTGGAATGAACAGCAGCAAGCCAGGATTCTAGTACAATTATGATGCCAACTGCAGGGTGAATTTGGATGCCATTTTACTCCCATAAAATCTCAGATTTCTCATATGTTCCCTCAGGTTGTTCAGCTAGATTATTTATTTTATACTATTGATTTTAGGTATTTATTTTATACTATTGAATTTAGTTATAGTAAGAGAATTTCATGATTCTATGGTGTTAAAATAAGAATTTCTTAAACATTCCAGAGGGAATGGATTTTAAAAAAAGTAACAACCTGATACACAAAATCAAAACTGAATCAAAACAAAAGAAACCCCACAAAAGTAAAACAAAAAACAAGAAAAAAGTGAATCATCTTTTCATCTGAGATGGAAGGAAGGGAAGAATATACTAGAAACACGTAGTTTTAAAGATTGCATTTAGGAAACATAAGAAACTGAACTTTGATATGAGTTTGCTATTAAACTGAAGAGAAGAGAATAAAAACAGTTTTTTAGGTGTTTTACCATGAGTAATAAATCAGTTTGGCTGTGTTTGGCATACAGTTTCAAAACTGTATCCTCCCTGGGAACTCTTACATGATTTATCATGACCCTTACAGCTTTTACATTGATCTCAGGAGAAAAGAGAATATGATAAAATGGATTTGCCTACAACTTTATGACATAAGTTACGACTCAACACAAGAAAAGGCAAATTGTCCACAGTATATTCTTATGGTTTGGCAGTAATCTTTTCAGACTGCACATTAAGATGAATTCAAATACTGGTGGTACATCAGACTGGCTGCCTGGCCATCGAGAGAACAGAATAATGTCTTGAAATTCAAGATATGTTAGTTCTAGCCCTGGTTTTGCTATAATTTAGTGGAGTGACATTGAGTACATTTTTTTCAAATGTTTACACCTTAGTTGACTTATTTGTAAAATGGAGTTGGTAGTATCAACTTCATTGTTGATGTTAAATGTTGCTGAGTCAGTTCTGACTCATAGTGATCCTATGGGTTTTTGAGAAGCAACTGGTAGATTTGAACTGCCAACCTTGCTGTTGGCCATCCAGTACTTATCCTACAGCACCACACCAGGACTCTATCAACTTCATGTTGTTGTTGTTGTTATTAAGTGCCATCGAGTCAACTCTGACTAATAGCAATGTTGTATAGGACTTCAGAGAAGTGGCTTATAGGTTTGAACTGCCAACTTTATGGTTCACAGCTCAGTGCTTACCCTGTAGCACCACACCAATTCTCTACCAACTTCATGTTGTTGTTGTTGTTGTTAAATGCCGTTGAGTCAGTTCTGAGCCATTGCAATCCTATACAGAATTTCCAAGGAGCGACTGGTGAGCTTGAACTGTTGACCTGGCAGTTCAAACTGACTTCGCAGTAGGAAAACCATCTAATTTTCTGGTAGGTAATCAATCGTTACTTGATAAGATGGTTTAATAAAATGATCAGTTCAGACTATTCTAAACTAGTTATGATTATACTGACTTGTTTGTTTAAATAAATAAATAAAAATCTCTATTTACCATTGTTGTTGTTTTTAGGTGACAATGAGTCAGCACCGAACCATAGCGACACTATGAACAACAGAACAAAACACTGCCCAGTCCTGGGCCATCCTCACAACTGTTGCCATGCTTGACTCCATTGATGCTGCCATTTTGCCATTCCATCTCGCTGGGGTCTTCCTCTTTTTCTCTGGCCCTCCACCTTACCAAATATGACATCCTTCTCCAGTGACTGGTCCCTCCTGACAATATGTCCGAAGTATAAGAGATGAAGTTTGGCCATCCTGGCCTTCAAGGAGCACTCTGGCTGCACTTCTTCCAACACAGATCTGTTGGTTCTTTTGGCAGCCCATGGCACTTTCAATATTCTCCTCCAACACCATAATTCAAAAGCATCAATTCTTCTTTGGTCTTCCTTATTTACTTTCCAGCCTTTGCATGCATATGAGGTTATTGAAAATACCATGGCTTAGGTCAGGCACACCTTAGTCCTCAAGCTTACATCTTTGCTCTTCAATCCTTTAAAAAGGTCTTGCGCAGCAGATTTGCCTAATGCAATACGTTGTTTATTGTTTAATTTCTTATCTGCTGCTTTCATGAGTGTTGATGGTTGTTTCAAGAAGAATAAGTCCTTGACAACTTCAATCTTCTTTCCATTGATAAGAATGTTGTTTATTGGTCAAGTGGTGAGAATTTTTGTTTTCTTTACATTGAGATGTAATTCATACCGTGCTCGTTGGTCTTCATCAGTAAGTATTTTAGGTCCTCTTAATTTTCAGCAAGCAAGGTTGTATCATCTGCATATCACAGGTTGTTAATGAGTCTTCCTCCAATCTTGATGCCACATGTTTTTTCATAGAGCCCAGATTCTCAGATTATTTGCTCAGCACACAGATTGAATAAGTATGGTGAAAGAATGCAGCCTTGTCACACACCTTTCTTAATTTTAAACCATTCAGTGTTCCCATGTTCTGTTCAAACAACTGCCCCTTGGTCCATGTACAGATTCCTCATTAGCAAAATTAAGTGCTCAGGAATACTAATACTTTGCAATGTTGTCCATAGCTTGTCATGATCAACAAAATCGAAAGCCTTTGCATAGTCAATTAAACACAGGTAAACATCGTTCTGGTATTTTCTTGTTTTAGCCAAGATCCATCAGACATAAGTAATGATATCCCTCATTCCACATCCTCTTCTGAATTTAAAAAAAAAAAAAAAAACATATATATTTTAAATAATCAAAGCATTCCCAATTGTACAATATTTTCACTCTTGAAGTTTCAACATGTGTTTAGAGTCATTCTCCACCCTCAACTCACTGAAATGTCTAACAGTAACTTCTTGTTTTCTTTGGCTACTTTTTTGGAATAAAGTTCTACTTGTGAACTATTATCATGTACCGGAGTTCTGTAAGTGTATTTGGGATCAATCATGATTGAAGGTCTTCCATTACCCTTCTTCCAAAGTGGAACAATTTTGTCTCCGACTTTAATCCCAATCTTTTCATATATGTATTATATATCTGTGATAGAGAAGGAGGAGTTTTCTCTGAGATGGTTTTGTTTGCCTATTTGTTTTAGTCAACAGTCCTTAACTGTTTACTCAATCCTGAGCCAGAGAAAGTCCAGAAAAGTCTGGGCAAAGTTCTGCCCCACTGCTGGAAATCTATTAACTGCACAACTAAAAGATGCTGTGTTGAAGCTCCCTTAACCTGGATATTAGACATACTTAAATTTGGACAATTTTCTCTTCAGTGCTTTTACAGTGAGGAAGCTTCAAACAAAATAATGGAGGCTCAGAATCAGAATTTGAAGACAATACTGCCATTGTCTTTAGGAAGATTTCATATTTCTGAAGATTATGGCTTTCTTCTCCCAAATCCTCTGGTAAGGATAAAACTTTGAATCAGGTCAGTATAAGTTTTCTTCAGATGGTGAGGTGATTTATATTCTTCTTTCTCTCTCTTTCTTTTTCTCTTGTAATTACAGGTTGTTAAGAAAGATGCAATTAAATATCAAGTCATTGACTTGAGAAAGAGAATGTTTGAATGTGTTTCTTTAAATAGATTTCAGGGCAGGTAACCTAGAAATAAATGTATTAAGAAAAATCAAGAATAGATATAGATAAATTGTATAAAAAATATTGGGCCAAAACTATAGCAGCAGGTGTTTCTAAGTTTTACCACATGATGTAAGGTTCTAACAAGATCTTCCCTCATCAAATAAGATTAATTTCTCTCTTACAGATTCAACAGTTTGCATTGGCTACATGTTTGTAAATGAAATGCCTGTAGGAGAGTTTACTGATAAACTGTTTTGAGTCACTACTGCTGATATTATTGATGTGAATTAGCTTCCTAGTTAGATAGAAGGGAAGAGTGAGAATATGAAAGATCTTAGATGTTTTAGGGCTGGTGAGAGGAGTTAAATGTCGCAGAAATTGCTGAGAAGAGAAACAAATCCTTAAGAACAAACAGTATTTCTGTTTTAATTTCCCAATATGTAACATAATTTTGTTCTATCAGTTAACACTTATTAACACCATCTCCCTCCCACCACCACCACCTTTGAAGCTGGTCTAAAGCCTAGGATAACAAAACTGTCAGAGTCCTTGGAAACCATGTGGTCCCAACACCCTCTTTCTGTACTCTGGTTAGGTGAAATCCCAAAAAGATTTGCCTAAGTCATTTTAATAACAAAAGCAGAGTTAGAACAAAGACTTCTTGACATCTTTTACTGCACGGTGACTATAGGATAAGCACTGGACTATGGACCACAAAGTCAGTGGTTCTCCACAGGAGAAAGATTAGGCTATTTGCTCCCACAAAACACTCATAACTCCAAAATCCTATACAAGGTTGCTATGAGTCAGAAACCCCTCAACTGCATATAACAATAGCAGCAGTAACATAAGGGCCTTGACCACTCAAATTGAGAACCTAGTGATCTGAAATTTGTAGGTATTGCACTGAGCCAACAATTTCTTCCTAGTGTCTAATTTGCCATTTAACTATGATTAAAGAATGTTTGGAACTCAGTGAGATTTGATTAAGTATCTATTCTGATGCTTATTTTCTTATGAATTGTATTGGAGATATACAAATGAAGATAAAATCTATTCTCTTCTCTCAAAAGTTCTCTGTAGACTACAAAAGTCTGAGACCTAGTAACTTGAACTCTAAAAGTAATGACACACACATCAACAGAGCTGTTGTCAAATCCACTCTGATAAATGGTGATACCATGTATGTCACATGAGAATTGTTTTTCATAGGGTTTTGGAACACAATATATTATATTTCAGAAATAGCTTGTCAGTTCTTTCTTCCTAGGGATATCTGGGTTGATTCCATCTTACAAATGTCTGTTTAGTAGTTGAGCTTAATAATAGTTTGTAACACCCAGGGATAAGGTAATGACAACAGGGTGCCATGCAGAGTAGGGCTGTTAAACAGTATTAGACTCAGTTCTAATACTAATACTGCCACTGCCCTTGGCTGACAGACCGTACCTGTTTGCTGGGGATGGAAGGGGTTCTTGAGACATGGATTTTCAGTGCTGATCTTGGAAACTCTTGGAAAAAAACAGAATGAATAAGTCACCCTAACTTGAATTTACTTGAGTGCCTCACTAATCCATCTGAGAGCTGCCCGGGCCCCACTAGATTGCTTTGAAGCATGAATGTGAATGCACTTTTACAAATCTATGTAAGAATCCAGAGCCAGTTCTCCTCAACCTCAGCTAAGTGTTCTTTGAGAATCTGAGTGTATAATTTAATTCAGGAATATTTCCATGCTTCTTAGCTTACAAGGCAGAAAAGTCAATATGTCAATGTGGTTTTATTAGAAGTAAATATGTACATTGAACTGAGGAAAGAGACTATTTTTTTTAAGTCAGTAAACATTGGGCAGGGCTACAATTGGTGAGTTCCCCTCTTTGTTGTTTCCATTTTTATACAAAAGGGAACAACATAAAAACCAATTATTTCAAGTACTTTTGAAATACTGAGAAAGATGAAGTGTGCCTTGTGGTTTCATGACTGCATGTCCCTTAGTAGCAATTTCTATTGTTAGCTTGCATAAAAAGTTCACTAGCAAGCTGGTTCTAATTTATCTTACTCATATTTTCCAGACCTTTCAAAATGTAGTTCATTGTTTCAGTTTTAATTTTCTCTCACTGCTATGAGAATTATAAACAGCTTCCTTTCTGAGAAAAGGTGGGGTAGGGAGGATGTTATCATTGGAAGCTGCCATAGGTTACTCCATAGATTGGGAGATACTCAGTCACCGACATCACCAGCCAACGGTTTTGCAGCTGATAACAGGTGTTTATTTATTTAGTGCTACCATCACAGAAATTCCCCCAATGGGGGATTTAATGAATAGAAATTTATTTTCTCACAGTTTAGGAGGCCAGAAGTACAAATTCAGAATCTAGGGAAAGACTCTCTGTGGAACAAGGTCCTTTTCTCTTTGAGCTTCTACTCCTGATTGGTCTTCATATGACCTGGCACCTCTCTTCCCACATCTCTAATTCTGTTTCTTGCTTGTCTGGCACTGTAGGATAAACATTGGACTGCTAACCACAAGGTCAGTGGCTCAAGCCCACTGGCCATTCCTATATAGGGTTGCTGTGAATCAGAAACTCAAAGGCACTTAACAACAACATAGTATCTCAAAAGAGATCTATTTAAAACACATCTTGCATTAATCTTGTCTCATTAACATAACATAACACATAAATCCCATTCCCAACAAGCATTGCTGTTAGGATTTGAAGCACTTATTTGGGGTAGGAGGAAGGAGGCACAATTCAATCCATAACAGTGGATTATGAAATATTAATCACTTGACTCTCAGGCACACATAACAACAATTTATTACTTAAGAGACAAATCATAATTTGTAATCCTTTATTATAAATACCGAACTTAGTAAAGCAATGAATAAGTAAGCAGACTAGCTTCTGTGTTGGTGCTGACTTTGGCTCCAAAATTCTATCCTACTATTTCTATGAACTCTAGAACATTCTCAAGTTCCAACATTTCAGTGTGGAAAAACGTAAACACTACCTCCTAGATCAACATCCACAAAGATGCCACACACAAAAATATCATTATAATATCATGAGCATGTGTGTGTTTTTGTGGGGAAAGAATTTCTTCTTAGGCATAAAGGATACAAGGAAATGATTTTATGAGAAAAAGAGAGGTCCAGATAGGTTGTAGTACTTGACAAGATAGAAGACACCTTGAATGTTTGGCTCAAGAATTTGGTTTAACACATTTGGAAAATGATATTTTACCACACCAAAACCAGGTAATTTGAATATTTATCTAACAGAATGTGAAATACAGATTGAGTTAGAGTCATGCTCTTAAAATGTAAATCAAAATCACTTATGTTGTTGTTTTTATTATTTATTTATTTATTAAGTTTTATTGTGAATTATGTGACAGTTTACATGGGAGAACATTAGTTTTACATTCATCTTAACATATATTGTTTGATTGCCATGGTTATAATCCCTTCCATGCATCACCAATCAATGAAAGGGTGCATCCTATAAGCCTGCTTCCACCCACCCACTCACCCCAACCCCCCCAACCTCCCACCCCCCGGTCATCAGCACACGCCTCTCTTCCTCCCTGGGTCCTGAGTCCTCAGCTGCTCCATCTCTCCACACCATCATCTCTGCCTCCATCTCTGGGATCGCTGCCTCTCTGGACAGAGTTCTTCTCTCCGCTCTTCTCCCTTCATGGTTCCAGGGACCTCCGCTCCCTGTCTACAAAGTCAGTCACTCCCCTCCTTGCCACAAAATGCCCACTTTTACATTTACAATCTTCACAATCAGTCCTGGTAAAAATTATTCACCCTTCCATCACAGGAAACCTATCCTCATTTCCTTTAATCAGTCCTGTCTAGACAGATTGGATACTACTCAGTGGAGATTCTACCTTGCTCCACGTCCTCTGAATGCAGGTTCCCACCCCCCTTTTTCTTAGTCTTATACAGTAGTGGTCCTATGCAATATTTCTCTTTTTGTGACTGACTAATTTCACTCAACATAATGCTCTCAAGGTTCATCCATGTTAAATGGTGTCATGCAGCTTCCTTGTTATATCTTGTATGTACCAAAGTTTGTTTATCCATTCTTCAGTTGATGGGCACTTTGGCTGTCTCCATCTCTTTGCTTTTGTAAATAGTGCTGCTATGAACATTGGTGTGCATGTATCTTCCCGTATTGTGGCTCTTTTTTCTTGTGGGTAAATACCAAGTAGAGGAATTGCTGGATCATATGGTATTTCTATTTTCAACCTTCTGAGGAAGTGCCATATTGCTTTCCAGAGAGGTTGGACCATTTTGCAGTCCCACCAGCAATGCAGGAGTGTCCCAGTCTCTCCACATCCCCACCAGCATTTATTGTCCTCAACGTTTTTGATCTTTGCTGCTATTGTTGGTGTGAGATGATATCTCATTGTTGTTTTGATTTACATCTCTCTAATGGTTAGTGATCATGAACCTTTCTTCATATGTTTGTTGGCTGCCCGCATCTCCTCTCTGGTGAAGTGTCTGTCCGTATCCTGTGCACATTTCTTAATTGGGTTATTTGTCTTATTTTTGTAAATGTGTAGTATTTTCCTATATATTTTAGAAATGAGCCCTTATCTGATATGTCATTGCAAAAAGATTTTTTCTCAGTTTGTGTGTTCCCTTTTTACTCTTTTGGTGAAGTCTTTTGATGCGGTGTTCCTTTTGCTGTGTTTAATCCACCAGTTCTATAAGAAGTCCTCTTCCTCTTTGTCAGTGTCCCAGTCTGGTTAGTTTGAACCTTTACCTTCAGTGTGGTTGTGTGCTAGGGAATTGGTTCCAACTTATAGTGACCCT